TTTTTTTTCCAAATGATTTTGAGTTTTGTTCCACATTGCTCCCCCTGTCTATCCAGGATCTCCTACAAAGATCCTCCCAAGTGGTTGACAGTAGTAGCCAAGCACCGTCTATTTCTTCTGGTCTCATAGTCATATAGGCTGCAGATTGGATGGTGTACCAGTCACTAGGACTGATTGTTTCCATGAATTTTTGGTTTCCTTCATTCTTCTTGGCCCTGGACAAGGAGAGACCCATCATTGCATCTAGATGGCAGCTTGCAAGCTTTTAAGATCTCAGTCGCTACTTGCCACAGTAGAAGGTGGAACAATGATTTGTGTAGTATGTTATGCCAATTCACCTTTTTCTTTTGTTGTGAGTCTGTTCAAATTTTCTATTTCAGTCTGTTAGTTTAGGTAGGTAGTGTGTTTCTAGAAATCTGTCCGTTTCTGCCAGGCTTCCAAATTTGTTGGAGTCCTATATCTGACTCTCCTCCTTCCTCTGTTGTTCCAGGCAAATAGAGACCAATTGTTGTGCCTTGAATAGACACTTGGGAGCTTTTAAGACACCAGGCACTTAGGCACTGCACATCAAACTAGAAGGTAGAACAGAAGCACTAAACAACCATGCCCTTAAAACACCAAATCAAGAAACTAAATCCCATGATTTCTGGTTGTAGACAAGTAGCCTCATCATCTTTCTTTCTTTTGGGGAAGGGGGATGTCACTGTTGTAAATATATCTATCACATTTGCGGTATTTTTCATTAGAAACCAAGAGCTACTGAAACAATGTCAGTATTAATCCTTGTGGATATGAAATACAACCTAGTATTCCTTATATATTCTTTTTTTAAAATTTGTTGTAAAAATACAAATAACACAAATTTGCCAACTCAACATATTTCAGGTGTACAATTTAGTGATGTTAATTACATTAATCATGTTGTGCAACCATCACCTATCACTTATGTACTTTTTACCCAACACTGATGCACTCACTTGATACATTTTTTAATTCTGCACTACTACATCTGATAACAAAGATGGAATCTTATATGTTGCACCAGCAACCCCCAGACCAAAACGTCCAACCTGGTTATAACCAAATGTTGCTTCTGGTTCATCTGTTTCATGCATTAGCAGGAGGGGTCCTAAACATGTGAGAAAGTCTTAGACATAATTTTTTGAAGCACAGTGTTCAGAAACAAAGCAAGAACAAAGGAAGTGAAGTAGCCCTGCAATTACAAGGTCATTTCCTCACTTCCTGTGGAGTAACACACACTGACACAGATGAGGAAGGAAAACACATCATCACAAAGGACTCTTCTTAGTGAGGCCTACTCCTGACCTCCCAACTTAAAACAGCAAACATACACTCATCCCTGCACTTCTAACCCCCTTAATCAGCTCTACTTTTTTTCTGACCCCTTATTAGATTAAGGAGCTCTGGTGATGATGTGGTTAAAGCATTGGGCTGCTAGCTAAAAAGCACTGGGCTGCTAACCAAAGTCAGTAGTTCAAACCCACCAGCCGATTCAAAGGAGAAACATCAGACAATCTGCTTCTGTAAAGATTTACAGCATTTTAAACCCTATTGGGCAGTTCTACTCTGTCCTATAGGGTCACTATGAGTTGGGTTGACTTGATGGCAGTGGGCTTGGTTTGGTGTTTTATTAGGGTAGGAGCTCCGGTGGAGCAGTGGTTAAGTGCTCAGCCGCTAACACAAGGTTGGCAGTTTGAAACCACCAGCTGCAAAGATTTGGCAATCTCCTTCCATAAAGATTTACAGCTTTGGAAACCCTATGAGGAAGTTCTACTCTGTCCTAGAGGGTCACTAAGAGTCAAAATCAAATTGGCAGCAGTGGGTTGGGTTTGGGTTTAGGTTATGAAGTAAACACACTCAGCTACCAAGTGAAAGTGTGGAAGTTAGTTCACTGGCAGTTCATGTCTACCGCAGAGCTGCTCAGAAAAAGGCCCATCAATCTACTTCTGAAATATCAGCCTTTGACAACCCTGTGGTCAGTTCTACTCTGACACTCACAGGGCCACCGTGAGTTGAAACTAATTCCACTGCATCTGGTGGTGGTGGTGGGTGGTGGTGGTGGTGGTGGGTGGTGGTGGTGGTGGTGGTGGTGGTGGAAACCACTTTCAGGGAAACTCAGTAATAAAGGTTATGGATGTTGATATCAGAACAAAAGAGACAAACCCAATCCTGAAGATCTCTATGGTCTCTCTTTGTTATGGGGAATAAGAAGCATTCAGAATATCATTAAAATAGAATAAAAAAGAGAGGCGATGAAGTAAAAGTTGTATACTGTATGCTTTGTAGGAGATGAGCAAGTATAATGAAAGAATATCAGCATATAAAGTTAATTGCTGCCTCATTTATCCATCATTCAAAAATACCCAGTGAGCTTCTGATAGAAGGTAATTAACTCAGGAGGATAAAAATTACTCTATTTTGTTCATTAGCTAAAATCTTAAGAACAGAAAGACTCTGCTTATTCAATCAGTAATGAAACTATACACATACACATTATATTTTGCCTAAAAACCACGATATATCTGATTTACCATTCAAGACAAATGTGAAAAATGATCCAAATGCTTTACAAAGCAGGATCATATATTAGCAAACCCTAACTTCTCACGAAGCCTCAGAAATGTATCCTGTACTTTTTATAATGATTCCCCTTGGATTTTTTCAAAAGGCGTGCATCAAGGAAAACTTACAGCTGTGCAAAAGATGCACTGGCATTCCTGGAGGGTGGTCATCTTATCCAGAGAATGTTCACACAGGCAGAGTTTGCAGGTGACCAGGGGAGCCAGAGCCAGGTCTCCAGGTGTTGGATTTTCTGCAGTCATGGTGAGATAGTGGAGCCTATCAACTGCGCCCATCCGCCTGTCTGGATACTTCTTCAGTCTCCTCAATGCCTAAGGGAAGGTGCAAAGCAAAAACGACTATAGTCATTAATAGAGCTATTGTTTTGTTTGTTAATTGTAGTTTGGGTGAAAGTTTACAAAGCATACTATTTGTTCACTCAACAATTTATACAATTTTTTTTTCATAACATTGATTTCAATCCTCTCAATGTAAATCACTCTTCTCCCTTCCTTCCTGGGTTCCCTACTTCCATTCATCCTTCTTCCCTGCCTTCCTGCCTTCAGAGCCTTGTTTTTTTGGTAAATGTTTCCCTTTTGCTCACATATGTTACAGCTATTCTTTAATCAATCCATTTAGGGTCTAGCAGAGCACAGTTGCCCCCTCACTGATCTCTAAGCCTACAGCTAGTACATTTCTCAGAACCTTGGCCTAGAGAGGTTGCTGCCTTGCCAAAGTGTTCCTGGAATCCTGAAGTTAAAAGCTGACCTCACTGTCCTGATTCTTATCATGTACGCTACAGGAATTAAAAGACCACTACAAACAAGCACTCTATTTGGAGTTGGTGTGCTACAATCAATTTAACAGATTAGGAGAGAAAAAAAAAAATCTTAAGAATAGGATGTTGCATGCATTCTTTCAGATACATAATTTCACCTAATCTTTTGTAACCATGGTGACTATTTTCTTCATTTTATAGATGATTTGAGGTTCTGAGAAGTTAAACAGACTGTCAGTATTCTTTGATTTTGTCCATGGCTGAGCAGGATTCAAACCTCTGTCTTCCAAGGCCAAGGTCAGTGCCTGGTCCATTGCACCACAGCTGCCTCATAATTGGATATTATATGGAAGGTAGAAAGAGAGAAGCAGGGTCTGGGAGCAAAGCAGGAGAGATAGAGGGAAAAAGAGAAGGAGAGAATGAGAAAGAGCTGAGATCTCTTAAGGCCACTGAAGCTGTACAGGAATAAAATTTTTCTCTATGTGGAGGATCTTTAAATACACATTGCTAAGTAAAAGATGCCAGTCTGAAAAAGTTACATACTGTATGATTCCAACTCTATGACCTTCTGCAAAAGGTAAAACTATAGAAACAGTTAGTTCAAAGATCAGTGGTTGCCAAGGGTTCAAGTAGAAGGGAGTCTGAGAGATGAAAAGGTAGAACATGGGGTATTTTTAGGGCAATGAAACTATTGTGTATGATGATACTGAAATGGTAGATATATGACATTATGCATTTGTCAAAATTCATAGGGCTATACACCACAGAATGAACCCTAATGTAAACTATGGACTTTAATAACAATGTATCAATACTGTAACAAATGTAGCATACAACTGTAACAAATGTATCACACAAATACAAGATGTTGATATTAAGAGAAAGTGTATGGGAGAGAGGGAGTATATGGGAACTCTCTGTACTTTCTACTTTCTGCACAATTTTCCTATAAACCTAAAACTGCCTTTTAAAAAAAATTCTCCTAGCACATAGCATATTAATATTTATACCAACCACATGAGGAAGTTTCATGTTCTCATTAAATAAAAGCAAATCATAAAGTTCTTACTATTTTACAAGAGTGTGGCCAGTTCACATAAATTGTTCCATAAAAATAATTATAAATACCCCTTCATCCCACGAGAACCAGACTCTTCCTCCTAATTTTGGGGCAGAAGTTCCTTTAAGTTGATGACATTTGCTACACAGCCCCACATGGCGTAATTCTCAATATATAGATACAAAAGAGGAAAATAAGAGGAAAAAATAGTACAATTTGATGGAAAGATAATACCAGGAGCTCTTTGCTCAGTTTGCCCACATTTTCTTAATGTCATACACAAAAGAGAAACAATACTAATTCTAATAGCCAGAAGAGTTACAGGTTTTACACCAATTCCCTAAGAAGCAGGAGAAGAGTAGATTAAATGAAATTAAATCAGAGTAACCAATGATTTCTCAGTCTTCCAACATGGAAAGCAGATGATATTTCTTAGAAAAACTCCAATATGGTTCAAGAGCTCTGGTGGTGCAGTGCCCAAGGCATTTGACTGCTAACCAGAAGGCTGGTAGTTCAAACCCACCAGCCACTCTGCGGAAGGAAGACTGGGCAATCTACTTCTGTGAAGATTTACCACCTCAGAAACCCAATGGGGTTCATTATGAGTCAGAATCAACTCCACGGCAGTGGGTTTCTTTGTAGTGTTCACATTTGTTTAACTATTGAAGAGCTACATCTTCCAAGAGGAAAGTAATTCAAATTCAGCTGTACTTCAAATTCAAATTTGGAGGTTTAAATGTCACAGTGCCAATGTAGGGGTAAAAGATTTTACTTCCTTCCTCTTCCCACCTAACGCTTAGATAAGTGATACAAGTTGTTTATCTAAGACTCGAGTTCCATAGCACACACAGTGTCATTAAACCAAAACCAAACCCACTGCCATGGACTCAATTTTGACTCATAGTGACCCTCTAGGACAAAGGAGAACTGACCCTATAGGGTTTCCAAGGCTGTAAATCTTTATGGAAGCAGATTGCCTCATCTTTCTCCTGTGGAGCAGCTGGTGGGTTTGAAGCACTGACCTTTTGAATAGCAGCTGAAAGCTTAAACCACTGCACCACCAAAGCTCTTTTTCCTGTCCCATTAACTTCCCCCAATTATTTTCTTCTCATCTCTATTTTCTCAATATGGTCTCTCCAACATACCCTGAATTATCTTCACCCTCAAAAAAGAGAATTCTCAAGTCAATCAATAAGAAGAAAGGTAGCCAGTAAATGCTTCCTGAGTAAGGAAGATGGGAGATGTCACAGCTCAGAACCTACAATTTGTAATACACTACAAATTTCAATGACACTTAAGAGCATGTTTGGCTGTAGCTTGTAAAAAGTGAATCTTGTCTGACCAAGCAATTTTAAAAAAAACAAGCCGGTTGTCACTGAGTTAATTCTGACTCGTGGCGACTCATGTGTGTCAGAGTAGAACAGTAAGCAATGGAGTTGCCAATGGCTGATTTTTCCGAAGTAGACAGCAAGTCTTCTTCCAGGTGAACTCTAACCTCCAAGCTTTTGGTTAGCAGGTGAATGTGTTAACCATTTGCACCACCCAGGAACTCTGAGACCTGGATATTCTTCAATTTCTCACAGTCTCAATTAATAATATTGTTTAGAAAGAAGTATTCAACAGACCAAATGTCTAACATACCCTTGATAAACAAATATGTGAAGCCAGAACAGGACACCTCTCTGGGAAAGACTATTGTTTTTAAAGGGAGAACTAGAAATTCTGTTAATCGAGGTGGTTTGAAACATAATGTTGTCCTTTACCACATACCCAAGTTTTTAATCCTTAGTTTGTGAGTGGCATGCCTAACCTGTTGCTGACAAGTCAATTTTCACTCATAGTGACTCTACAGGACAGAGGAGAACTGTCCCATAGGGTTACCAAGGCTGTAGTCTTTCCAGAAGCAGACTGCTGCATCTTTCTCCTGCAAAGTGGCTGGTAGGTTCAAACTGATGACCTTCAGTAAATTAACTGAGCACCTAACCACTGTACCATGAGGTCTTTCTGAGTGGCTTATAGGCTATGAAGAAAAAAAAAATATCATATAACCTAAGACCCTTTAACATAACAGAGACCAATTTTATTTTTTTAAAAAAACCATCTGTTCGGAGTTCCGGTGAGATGGCGGACTAGGCAGAAAGACTGCACAGACCCTCTTCAACAAAGAAAAAGGAAACCAATTAACACAGACACAGAAGATAATCCTGGACCCCTGAGCCTTGAAGGGATGGATATAGAAGTGGACTAAACCCCAAGTAGCAGAAGAATTTGCATGAAAATACCAAAAAAGGAGACAGACAGTGCCACGGTCTGGCAGTGATCCTGAGCGATCCTGATGGCACAGCACAGACAGCTTGGAGATTCCCGAGTGGTGGTAGGACCTAAGAATTAACCTAAAAATCAGCCCTGCTAGCCAGGGACTGCATAGAGGACTGCTCTGATGGCTGGGGAATAAATGGAGAAGGTGAAGAGAAAGGCTGTGGACTTTTGCCAGTCCGGAGGATGCCGCCATTTTGAATGTTACAAGCAGCTTGACCATTTTGGATGTTTAAAGAGACAGCGCTCTCCGAGACTCCAGGGGCTTAAGAAGAGGTTCTGCTTTCCAGACACCCCAAGGATACTCTGGACCTGCAAGACTGAAAAGGTGTGACATTTCTCTTGTTACTCTTACACCCCACACCCACTTGGTGAATGAAGGTGCAGCCATCCCCACCCACCTACTGGGCCCACAGGAACTCCATCATAGCCTATGTGCTCAGATGGAGCCTGGGTGCCCTGCCCTGTCCTCCACCAATTTTTTTTTTTTCCTTTTTTGCTTTCTTTTTTCTGGTGATTCGTTTGCTTGTATTTATCTGTTTTAAAACAACTATTATTATTAATACTTTTGCCCTTTTTACTATTATTCTTATTCTTCCCCTCCCAGGTCCTAGTTTTCAGCTTTTTTTCTTTTCACTGTTCCTGATTGAATTTTTTTTTTTCTATTTTTCCCCTTCTTTCTCATGGTTAACCCCATTCCTTGTTTTTCTTTTTGCATTTTTCCCATTTTTTTTCCTTCATTATCTTCCTTCTCTACTTCTTTTCTCTTAGTGCCCTATCCCCAGATATTCCAGGTTTTCTTGTTTTTTTCTTCTTCTTTTTCCCTTTTTTTCTTTTTTTGGTTACTGTTTCTGTGTGATTACATGGTGTGTCTTTTGTCTAGGTGCTTTTAGTTTTTTGATGGTTATTCAATTGTAATTTTTGTCTAACTGAGTGGGAGACAGCAACAGTCCCTATAAGACACAACTACACCCACACACCCTGCAACTCCAATTACTGAGTGAGAGCCACTACCTCCTTCTCCACCAACGGGCCAACGATAAAAAAACACCAAGAAGAGCCTGAATCACCCTTGGCTGCTCTTCACAAACAGTTAACAGAGATCTAAATACAACAATGCCACAATGCCTC